TATTTCAATATATATATAACTCTTTTGTATTATTTATGATATAGATTATATATGTTGTATCTGTATATGCTTTAAGTATATATATCTATCATGTGTGTTTGTATATAACATAAAAGGATATGTATAAAAAAATTAAGGGGTATATAAAAAGAAGAAGTGAGATGGGATGTGGAATATTTCAAAATTGTTTCTGTGCCATTTTTGTATCAGGCCCATGTAAGAGGTTACCAGGTGAGGAAGAACTACAAGGTAATCTGTTGGGCTGTTGGCGTTCTAGATAAGGTTGTACTTCGATGGCGCCGGAAAAGTGTTGGCTTGCGAGGGTTTCGCAGCGAGTCAGATTCCATTGACGACGAAAACGAAGATGAAGAGGACATTCTGAAAGTGTACCGCAAACAGAAAGTGGATGCAACAATCGATGAGGCTGTCTCACGCGTGTTATCCATGGTTGATTCTCCGGATGCCCGTCAACAATATCGTCGGATGCTTGAAAGGTATCACCAAGCTAAGGTAAGCTTGACCCAACTCATCACTGATCCATCTGTTAATTGCATAATTTGTGATACCTGTAATTTAGGACTGGGTTCATTTAAATAATATTTTTGGTACTTGGAAGATCAATATTTTCAATTATTGTTTGCAGGCTGAGCTTGTTAATACAAATGAAGCAACAGCATCAACTTGTGTAACTGATGTTTACGACATGGAAAGTGACAATGTTTTGCATTTCCAATAGGTAACCCCTAACTCACCCTTCTTCCTCATTGAACCTAATATCATAGTTTGTTGGATTTGCTGTATAATATTGCAAGGAAATAGCCTGCAGTTTGACATAGTTGTAACTTGTAAGTATACAGTGATTTGCTCATTTACCCTGAGCACTTGTGTTGTATATGCTCCCTGTAATTAGTAATTTACTGTAATCTGATTTCTTATGAGGTTGATTCATCTTTTTTCACCTTAATTTTCCTCCTGTTCAATTTAGCTAAGGGGTCGGGCTAGGAATATATATATATATATATATATATATATATATATATATATATATATATATATATATATATATATATATATATATATTTGTAAAATCAGAATTCAAATTTGCTATAAAATCCCAACACAAATACTATTAATATAGGGTGTCAATGTTTTCTTATATGTTCCACTACTTAAAAAGTTAAATCTTGATTAAGTTAGTGTTATAAGTTAATTGGGAATCAATTTAATTAAAACACGATTGAAAATATTTTTTTAAAGTGGTTAATTAATATTATTTTAAGAGGTTTTTACATTTTTTATATTTTTATACAACCTTTGAATAAAATAATAAAAATTAAATATTTTGAGATCGACATGTGTGATTAATAGATTTATACACAAATCATTAAGTACCTTATATGTGATATTTGCTAAGTTCATTTTCGGTAAATGACTTTTTTTTTCTTCCAAAAGATTAATTATCTCTTTAGTACATGTATTGTACCAATTTTTTTTGTCATATAAATCGTCTTTCCTTCATCTTAATTTCATATAATTTATATTGTTTTATTCCGTTCCGTTAGACCATTTAATTGTTGGTCTAAATTTAACTTGTTTACGCTTTTTAATATTTCTTTTGTATTAATATTAATATTAAATGCTATGATATTTTAAAAAATCAATAATGTTTTTACACGTGACACACATACAATGAGTTAAGATTATGCGATCAAATAATTATAGGTATATGTTAAAAATAAAAAATCGCGGTTCATTGATTTAATATAAACATAAAATAAAAATAGAGAGTCGCGATAAATAATAAACCTACAGAGTTTAACATAAAGTATAGAATAGAGACCAAAATTTTAGTTTTATAAGTAACTAATTTAAAAAACAAAATATGGAAATTTGTTCAAAACAAATCTAATAAATATTTAAACTTAAAAAAGGATACATTAATAGGAGAATGTGTCCTTAAGAAATTGGTATGTACATAATATCATGCATCATCATATTTAGATTCGTTTTGATATGCACATATCAGTTTCTCATTAGAATGTGCTCAAGTACGAGTCCAATTTTGTCGTAATTTGGATAAATTTGATTAGTTAAAATGATATGTACTTAAAAAAATATTAAAGTATATAATAGTATGCATCATGAACGATGCACTATGCTCTCTAGAATGTCAAGTGCATCCCCATTATTTTGGATAAATTATTAAATTTAGTTCAATGGGTTAAACAAAAGAAATGCATACTCATTTTATTAAAAAAATATGAAAATTTGGACTCATATTTTTAATTCTTAGATCCGTCACTAATATGCATATTTAGACACTAATGGGAGAACATATCTTTTGTATATAAAAAAACAGAACATCAAATTATGGCATATCTATACTTAACCCAATATTTTTGGCTCTCTGAGTATTCAATTGAAAAAAAAGGAGAGCTATGATAGAATTAGGATTTCACAAAATATGAAATTAATTTGGACAAAAGTAGGGTTTGGAAGACCATTATAAGTTTAAAACCTACTTTTCTTTCAAGAGATTCAAATGAATCTTACAACTACCAAGTACGCGGGCTATTACAATGATTAGATCAATAAATACAAATTGTAGCGTTATATTTCAACTTTACTTTCAAGAAAACCAGTTTAATATGTAAACCCTACCTTTATAATTCTCAAGAAAATATGTAATCATTTACTTTTCCTTTCTTTAATGTTACCGTTAATGTTTTAATGACCAAATCTTTCTTTCTCTCAGAGATATTTGGACTTTACTTGCAATTCAAGAAGTTTAATTGACCTATATATTTCCCACACCCCCAAACGACTCTACCCCGCGAAGAATTTGATCTTTACCCAAAGAACTCTTCTTTTTAATTACAATCAACCTCCATCTGGTTTTCTTTAGCCAAAAGAGTACAGATTTCCCGAGGAAAATATGGATTTTCTGAGTTTGGATGATTTCAAGAACATAGAAGTTGATCCCCAATGGACTGCTTTTGATTATTTACTCAAGACTGTGGAGGTGGACCAAGAGAAAGCTGCAAAGAAACGGTCCCCCCTTGGCAATGCAGGAGAATCCATGGGGAAGAAAAGGGAAAGACCGAGACAAAGAAGAGAAGAACATGGCCGGCAGAAGAGAAGAGCCAGAGCCATGGTATTGGTCCCTCCCTGTGCTCCCCCATTGTTGCCCCAGAGCTTCAGCCAACTCATTGAGGAAATGGGTGGAGGAAATTTGGTTTTCGTGATCGAAAAAAAACTGTTTTACTCGGACGTTAACCGCCAAGCCAGCCGACTTTCCATCCCATTCTCACAAGTCCAATCTCATGCCTTCCTCACAGAGTCAGAGGCCCAACATTTGGAGGGGAAGAACAACACCATTACAGCTCTCCTACTGGAACCATCAATGGTGAAAACTGAGGTCAACCTCAACAAGTGGGTTATGGGAAAGAGTTCAATGTATGTGATTAAAACAGCTTGGAATTCTGTCGTGAAGAACAATGGACTGAAGGATACAACTGTTGTTCGGCTCTGGTCGTTCCGTGCCAACTCTACTTTATGATTCGCACTTCAAAAGCTCTGAGTTTTGTTTTGTCAAATGAAGTCGTCAAGAAGATTTCTAGTATTGAATCTCGTTTCTGTGATGCTATTGCGGATTGCCGGATTTTGATATTTTTAGTTTCTGTAATCAACCAGGGTGTTGATCATAAACAGAGATTATTAATTACTTCTTTTATGTGTTTTTGATCCTTATAAATATGTTTGAGCAGTTCAATCATTCGAATATGCACGTTCAACATTTGGCTACAATTTGAGAAGCTACTTTCTCATTAATGAAGCGATGAATGTCCGTTTAAAACATTAAAGGTTCACGTGGTAAATTCTTATTTGTTCCAACCAAATCTTGTATTTAATTAGAAATTCAATTGAGCGTCTGGAATAGTTTATATTTAATAAAATATATAAATTTAATGACTAAAACTACTATTATAATATGTCATATCTCTATTTTTATTAACTCGTCGGTAAAAAAAATAATGACTAAAACTATTATCATATTATGTCACATACTCACATCTTTATTTAGTCATCGATCAAACCTAATGGTAGGTGATTGAAACAAAAATAAAATATAACATTAAATATTTTTTTATTAAAAAAAATACAGATCAACGACCAAAATAAAACATAAGAATAAATTTATGGAAGAAAAATTTGGAGAGAGATGATGATGTAGCCAGGATATATTCACCCTAATCTTCAGTCAATCTTTAGCTTAAAAGCTTGTGTTCCAAGCTAACCAACCTTCTTTGATTATAATTAACCTTTACATATCAATGCAATTTTTTTTTTCTTTCATTGGAACCAAAACAGAAGTGCAAATGAGTCTTTGAAGCAAACATGCAATTCATAAATGGTGTCTTTCACTAACTCCACCAATCATACAACAAAGGAAGCTCCGAAATATGATGAAGACATGGAAATGTGTGTTTTGTATATAAAAAATTGAACACAAAATTACTATATATATATATATATATATATATATATATCTGTATTTAACGTAACATTCTTAATCCTCTCAAGTATTCAACAAAAAAAGAACTATGGTAGAGTTGGGATTCCAAAAAATATGAAACTAATTTGGAGAGAGAAGGGTTTGAAAGATGAAGTTAAAAACCTAATTTTCTTTTGGGAGATTTAAAGGAATCTTACAGCTAGTAGATACGGAGTATTGCGATTATTAGATCAATCATTACCAAAATATAACGTTATACCAAATTGTGTTTCGACAGCCAAAGAACCCTCCTGCTTCATCTTGCTTTCAAGAAACTCGGTTTAATATATAAACCCTTTCTTTTTAATTATCAAGAAAATACGTATCCCCTTCTTTAACATTCTGAACCCCAAACATAGCCTTAAGCTTTAGTTACCGTTGTTAATGTCTTAATGACCAAATCTCTCTCTCTCTCTTTCAGAGATATTTGGACTTTACTTGCAAGACAAGAAGTTCAGTAAACCTATATATTTCCCACGCCCTCAAACAACACTACACCGCCAAAAAACTTGATCTTCGGCCAAAGAACTCTTCTTTTTAATTACAATCAATCTCTCTCTGGTTTTCTTCAGTTAAAGAGTATAGATTTCCTGAGGAAAATATGGATTTTCTGTGTTCGGATGATTTCAAGAACACAAAAGTTGATCCCCAATGGACTGGTTTTGATTATTTGCTCAAGGCTGTGGAGGTGGACCAAGAGAAAGCTGCAAAGAAAAGGTCCCCCATTGACAATGCAGGAGAATCCATGGGGAAGAAACGGGAAAGACCAAGACGAAGCAGAGAAGAACATGGCCGGAAGAAGAGAAGAGCCACGGTATTGGTCCCTCCTTGTTCTCCCCCATTGTTGCCCCAGAGCTTCATGCAACGCGTTGAGGAAATGGGTGGAGGAAATTTGGTTTTCGTGATCGAAAAGAAACTGTTTTTCTCGGACGTAAATCCCCAAGCCAGTCGACTTTCCATCCCCTTCTCACAAGTCCAATCTCATGTCTTTCTCACGGAGTCGGAGGCCCAACATTTGGAGGGGAAGAATAACACCATTACAGCTCTCCTACTGGAACCATCAATGGTGAAAACTGAAGTCAACTTTAGAAAGTGGATGATGGGCAAGAGTCCAATGTATGTGATTAAAACAGCTTGGAATTCTATCGTGAAGAACAATGGACTGAAGGATACAACCGTTGTTCGGCTCTGGTCGTTCCGTGCCGATTCTACTTTATGCTTTGCACTTCAAAGGCTCTAGGTGTTGTTAGTCAAGTGAAGTTATTGCGGATCTTCACTTCAAAAGCTCTAAGAGTTCAATGTAGCGCTGAAACTCGATCGAATCGCTTTCGTGATGTTATTGCGGATTACCGGATTTTGATAATTTGAGTGTTTGTAATCAACCAAGTGGATGATGATAAACAGTGTTAACTCTGATTAAACTTTTTTCCCTTACTTGCAGTGTTTACCTCTAATTAAAGTTTGCATAATTATCAAAACCAAACGATATGCATATAATGTAGAATTGGTGATTTAAAACTTTTTTCATATATAAAATTACAATAACCAAAGCCGATGCTCATTACCAAACTCAAATCATTGTTGCATTCGATTTTCATTCACAGTAACATGATAATGTGATATCTGGATTTTTTTCTCATAAATATATGTATTTGTATTTGATTATCACTCAAGTGACAGTGACGTAATAAACAAAAGGTCTGTACATTTTCTGCTTCTCTATATGATAACCAAAGAAAAAGAAGATACAACTGAGTCAAATTTACATTAGGCTATCTTTTGCCACTCTTTTCAGCACTGACAAACCGTGTAGCTCTTGCTCTTCTTTAGAAAGCTAAAGGCTTTCCCTATTTTCCTTCTCGATGCCGATTTACGGAATGGCTTCATTTCTATAGATGAGGCTGGAGCAGGCATCGGATCTTCACTGCTTTCAACTGGCTTGTATTTCTCAACTGGCAGTTGATCTCGTTGCCGTTGTTCTCGGAAGAGCACCAGAAGCTTTTGTGCCTTCTCCCTCCCTCTTGTTGTCCCATTTACTGAAATCAACACCAGTGCAGGTATCACACCTTCTTGTAGGACCATTTGACTGCATTTCTCATGTCCAGTACAAAGAAGCAGAAGGCATGAAACAGCTTGCTCTTGCTCAATCGATTCCCCAGCATCAAGGACTGATGCCAGACCACTTATGAGACCAAAGGCCGATACCATCTCATCTTTTCCTGTTGGACTCGAAGCTATGTTTATCAAAACTGCAATGGATTTCTCTATCCAAGTATGGTTACCCGAGACCACAAGCGACTGGAGGCCATTGATTATGCCAGCAAAAAGAAGGCTTGGAATGTTGGACGGCACAGTAGAGAGGTTATAAAGAGTGTGAAGGGCATCTAGCTTGCATTTTGGATCAGTTTCACCACCAAGTAACCGAACTAAGAATGGTACAGCCGTACTTGAGCCTATGATAGATTTGGCTTGTTCGAGGCAAGAGAGATTAAGATAGAGGGCAGCTGCTGATTCATGTGCATCGGAGTTGGAAACCATATTCTCCAGCAATTGAATTACTCCGGATGCTAACATCAATCCCTTGTTCCTGATTTTATTATTGATAAAATGGAGAAATAAAACTATAAGATTCACCTTAATCAGGACATATATAATGACAATCAAACACGAGGAATACAGTATTATGAATGAAAGACATGAAAATGATCTTTCCCCTACTATTACTTTGATGCATTTGGTGTATCCGTTAATGAATCAAAGAGCAGCAGCAGTTGCTCGCAACTATCGTTGTCTGCATTTAACTAAACAAAGGCATTAAAAGTGAGTAACAAACCTGTCATTGTTGACAGCAAGGTTAAAGAGAGCCATTGCACCAATTTCCTGAGCCATTGTATTCCCTTCATGCACAGCTGAACTTAGAAATCGCAATAATCCCTCAACAAAGCCATTAGCCCCCATAAAGATCCTAAACTCATCATCATCCTTCAGCAAAAGCCTTATTTGTTCCACGACTTTGCACCTTTTCTGCAAGTTCTCTTCTTCATTCAGGATAGATAGGAAATCCTGATAACTTTCTAGCACATTACGCTCCGAAACTTGCTCTTGTGGGCATGAATATCCATTTTCCGCTTCATTTCCTGCCGCTTTCTCAACAGTGACACTCTCCTCTAAAGGAACCGCCTTATCCCCCTTTAAGTTGCATGAACCGGCACTATCCTTTGATCTTGAACTTGTAGTCTCAGACTCGGACAAGGCAAGTCTCCAGTAGTTAAAATCAAGAGATTCAGGGGGACCATTGGGAATAGGAACTCCATTCTGTTCACACCAACTTGCAACGAGACCCTTAACACTGTAATTAGGAGTCAAAAAGAGATGCGGAATCTCCTGTTGAGTCTTTGGGCAGGTGTCATGTCCATCACTAAACCATTTCTCGATGCAGATTCTTTCATATGTTTGTCCAGAAGCAATTATGACTGGATCGTGCATAAGCTGCAATGATATTGGACATCGTAATTCTTCAGGGGGAAGGGGCATATGACCAGATCTAATATTTCGCTTGAAATTAAAAGAACTGAGCTTAGATAGCTGCCGCTCAAATGCCAGGCCATTACCACCAGCCCCTCCACCCTCAAGATAACCCTGAACAGTGGGGGAACAAGGTGTTGAACCCTGCAAATCATTATCATCTGAAACCTCACTTCGAAATAACTTGGAGTATTTCTTCATGAGATGTAAAAGATAAGCCACAATAGATTCCTTCCTCTTGTCTTCCTCAGCACGAGCTCTTTCTATAACCTTCTTGAGAGCCCTTCTTTCAGTTAGGGCTGCTCTTGAAGAAGTAATACCAAGTCTCGTAACAGCCTGGTGAAAAGACTTGAGCTCATTGTTATTGTTACAGTCATCAAATTTTCTCCCATGCTGAAGTAATTCAATGATATCATCACCAATTTGCTTCTCAGATGGATCAAGTGAGAAAACAGTCCCCTCAAGTTCACTCACAATCTCTGAAACCTGAAGTTCAATCAAGTAATCGGAATTCAGAAATATTGTGAGTATACAGTCTAAAGCAACAGCTACTAGAGAATCTCACATGAAATGATCATGCTGCAGGTAAATCCAATACAACCATGTCTAGGCATGTTTCCTTAAAAAAAAAACTACAATAATTTTCTTAATCTCAACAAGAATTAGGAATTATAAAAAAAGCACAGAGATAAAGTGGATAAATAAAACAGCAGCAGCAGCACAGCCTTGTTGAAACTGCTTGCCAAAAAGAGACCAGTATCACTTAAATACCAAAAAGAAATAAATAATCTTTGCAATTTCAGACAGTAGGTGGGTTTGTTTTGTTAGGGGGAGGGGGGAGCATTACCTGACATCCAATAGACTGTGGAATTATATCTTCTACGCGCCTAAGACTATCAATAAAAGCATATTTTGCCTTCTCGAACTTTGAAAGAACAGAATCTCCAGTAATAGCCTACATGAGTGGGGGGGGGGAATACAATTAGAAAACACTCTATAAGAGAGAAAGGAAACATTGTGGAAAACAATTAAAAATTAATAACCATCATACTAAGAATACACACGTGTACCGATACAATTATGCATGCATATATCCTGTTTGTGTGCCCAGAAAACAAACTCTTACCAAGTAAAGTTTACTACATGTAGAGCAGTGCTGAAGAACATTTTTGGCCTTCTCTAGAACCATATGCAATGAGCATAAAGCCTGAATGCCAGATTTGCTCCTTGGCCTTGCTGATTCTAAGGAAGAAAATATTAATGAAACTTTGCAATAAATTGCAGAAAGTGTCTTATACATATCTCCATGCAACTGCATAAGGGAAAAGTCAAGAATAGAAGTAAGAAAATGATGAACATTAAAAACGTTTTGTCTTCTTTGTCCTAAAACAACACATGCAACATGTTTCAACCATTGCTGCAGCACTAGAAACAAAGGCCTTTGATAATAAACAGTTAAAAAGAAACTTTGGAGATGGAATGATGCCATCAATGCAGAAAGTGCAATTACAAAGTATAAAAGTAATTATTGGCATGCCCCTTGAATTAAAGAAACAGCACATGTATAAAATGGTGGTTCCAATACTTCAAATTTAACATATCCAAATGATTTCAAATTCCATACCTTTGCATCACTAACTGCAAATAGGTTCTCTTCAACTTCAGAAATATCCATAATTTAGCATTCACTGCAAAAAACCACTAAAATGCAAATCTATATCAACTGAAATGCAGGAAAAAATATAACATAGTCAGATGGTTACAAACTAACCATTAAAATCTATTTAAAAATACAACAAACAGAAAGTTGAAATTGCATGCATAACTTTAAACTCTATTCCTTTAACTAACATAAAAATCTGAAAAATTCATTTTTATCCTCATTGACACAAATGTTCACGACCAACCATGCATCATGAACATGAATAAAAATTTCTCAAGCCCTATTTGTTTCAATTGCAATGTAATAAAGCTTATGTATTTCAATTTTCCTTAAAAAGATGCACCTTGGCAAAGCAAATGCCTTCTTAGTCTCAGTTCAACTGTTTTTTTGTATATATACAATAGAAGTATTATTTAGAAATATTCATACTTTTGAAACATTTCCTAAAAAATAAAAGGTCAAATGGACAATATTGAAAAGAAATCGGTATATAAGTACACTAGGCAGTATGAGCATTCTTCATGACATCATTGTGATATCGAGAAAAAAAACTTATGATTTTGATTCAGACATTTCATCAATACTGGAAGATAGAGCTACGAAAAAAGAATTTCTCCAGCACAAAACTAAAACTTATGATTGGTATTGAGAAATATATAAACAATCTGATTTAGACATCTCATCAAACAACTGAAATATACAAGATTCTTAACGGATTTAACGAAAAAGTTAAATCAAAAGAATCTTTGAAAAATGGCCTGAAACCCCGGAAATCATTAACCGTGACAAGAAACGAGAATCACCATCAGCTTTAGTAGATATTCCAAAAACATAGCAACAAGTAAAAGACTAAACAAAATCTATAATGAAACTCGTCCAACGGAGAAACATATAACGCACAAAACAAGGAGCTACGGAAACCAAAAACAAAAGAAATGCTTCCTATTTTCCTAAAGTAAAAATCAAATGGGATCGAATCTAAGCCGGGTTACAGATTTTAAAATATATATATAACATACCGGGGGGGAAAGGAGATAGCCAAGGAGGCTTCATATAAAAAATTGTTTTAGGAGGGAATTAAGATCCAAGCAGGGAATTAGGTTTCTGAAGATCCAATCTTATTGTTGAATTAGGGTTTGGGCCTTTGGGGATTCAAAGATTTGTGGTTCGAAGTAGAGAATTTGTCTGAGAGTAACGGGAGACGTGTAGTAGCTGTAGGGAAAGAGAGATTTAACTGTTTGGTTATTATTGAAAGTAATATTTGGAAATGTTTTAAAAAGAACGGTTTACTTTAAAGTGGGATAAATTTTTTGGGTGAATTATTTGTTTGACATCTCATATAATTTTGTATTTTTTTTGGTCACTCAAATTATTCTTGTATATATGTGTTACTGCGTTTAAGTTTGATTTTATCAAAGTTGAGTGATAAAAAGCATGAAAATAAATAGAGTACCAAATAGATAAATTTACAGGAAAATATAAATTCATTAATTTGGTATTTGTATATTAACTACTTTTGACTGCCGGAGGTCTATCACGGAAGTTATTCTCAACCTGGCATTGGGGACAGTCTACTATCCTACCTCCCCCTTATCCCATACATATGGGAATTGGGTTTTGTTGTTGTTGTTGTATATTAACTACTTTTAATAGTTATTTTATGGCTTAATGATATAAGAGGTCTTCAATTTTTTTAAAAAAAACAATATAGTTCTTGAAATTTTTTGTATTTAATTTGGTCCTAAAACTTAAAAAAAATAATATAACTCATTGATTAATGATTTTCGTTGTTGACCATTACGATATTGATGCAACGATCTATAATGGTTACATGATGATCTACGGTGACCGATAACATGATAGACGTGCTAATTTAATTTTTTTTAGTAGAATTTGAAGGTCAAATTATTATTTTTTAAATTCCATGGTAGATGTACCCTGTTTTCAAAGATTTTATAATTTGGAATCAAATTCCAAAATTAAATTATTAAATTATGACCAAATTCTAAGAATTCTCAAAATTTTCTTGAGGAAATCCAAATCCCCATGAATCTCAAATTATGGACTCTAATTTATCCATGGTTTAGTTACTGGGTGTCTATAACCACTAATTAATGTTGAAAATTAATATTTAAATAGTTTATCGATTATCTTAATTTTTAACCTGAAATTTGTATTAATATTTAGGGTAAATTATATGTTTAGTACTTTAATTAACTTTTTTGTCACTTAACTATTATTTTTTAAAAATCATACCTAACGTAACATTTTGATTTTATTTTATTCGCCCATCGTTTAAAAAATAACATAAATATTGGCATGATATTTTTTATAAAAAAAATCAATGATTTCGGGACATTACTTTATGGTGACACATTAGCATCATCTTTAATTTTTTAACGGTGGGTGACTAAATGAAATCAAAATATAATGTTAAATATGCTTTTGAAACAAAAAATAGTTGAATGACTAAAATGGAATAAAAGTGATAGTTGGAGTGTTAAACATATAGTTTACCCTAATCTTGAATATTTAAATAATTGTGGTTTGAATTTCTTTGACTATGTCCCCCTGATTTGCCGGCCGACAATTGCCGACCTCTTCATTTGTGGGATTAGCCTGAAATGCTATCAAATGACTCAATTGTCCTTAATTATCTCCCAAACAACACAAACCAAACACTAATGTACCTTGATTATCAAAAGTTATTTATCGCTAATTTATCACTTTTGGAACAAAATATAAATAACTTTATTAAAAATAACATCAATGGTTTGGATTCTTTTATAAAAAAAAATCACATCAATAGATCAACGTGTTCCTAAATAGTATTAATTATATAAATAACTTTATAAATTAATAATAATAAGCTTAAAAACAAATATATTAAATTTAAATGATGAAACAATGAGAGAACGAAAATCATAGTTTAGTATAAACATGTGTAAATATAAATTAAATTATTATTTAGAAAGCAAAACCATTTTGGGAGGCACGGGTTGGCGGGAATGTCAACCAAGCCATCCACGTGTGTATTTTTAAACCATTCATTCTGACAGATCAATTGATATTTTTATTGATCAGTTAATTCTGAACAATTAAGAAATTCTTATTTATATTTTTTTGTTTATGTCACGAAAAATTATTCAAAGTAAATAATATTTTTATTTATATATTTAATTTATTTTTTATTAGAATAAATAACTAAATTATCAGTGTGGATAAAATAAATGCTGCAATAATTTTTTGATTAAAATGGATAATCAAAATATATTATCTTTCTCATTTAAATATCTATAATATTCTTTAATTAATGTTTTGTATCAATTTTTTTTAAATTAGATGAAAAATATTACATACTTTAAATATTAATTTTGATCATAAAATATTTTAAATATGTATTTTGAGTAAAATACTCATTCATATTAGGTACCACAAAGGTAAGGTCGTAAGAGCGACCCCTAATTCAATTTACTCCATTTATAAATGTAGGATTCGAACTACTTGTTTTTACTTAAAATATCTAGTGTTTTATTCTATTAGACCAACTAATTTTTTTATATATTTTAAATACTTATTTACCATATAAACCTTATTTTTCACTGCTTCCCAATTAACGACGAAAACAACTGACTATATGTTTAATATTTCAACTATCACAATTATTTTGTTTTGATTATTCAACTATTTTTTTAAATCATATATAACGTTTAGTTTTAGTTTTATTTTGGTCATCAATCGTTAAAAAAATAATAGTGATATTGACATGTCACTATAAGCTAATTTCATATCATCATTAGAAAAACATTTAAAAATTTCACATCAATATTTTATTAATTTTATAAAGATGAGTGATCAAAACGAAATTTATATATAATATTGGATATGTTTTTGAGAGAAAAATATTTGAATGTCTAAAATAGAACAAAGGTGATAGTTGAGATCTTGTACCTAAACAACAAACTTCCTGTCATTATTGTCAGGGAGATATATCCAATCAGACGAGCAATTCACGCCACGTGCTGTACAAAATTCCTCCATTGTCCCGTCTCTAAGTACATGGTGAGAGTCATTCACGCTCTATTTCAGTCCGTATTTAATCAAAAATTCAATCTAAATTGTCCCTCATTTTCCGTTGCGGTAATCATGGAAATTGTTTAGTCTAGAAATTATTTTACAAAATTGATAACCTGAAGAAATAATACAATTTATAAAATATATTTTTGAATTATTTAAAAATAATACTTGTTTCGTGTCTAATGAAGGTCCGTGTAAATTTTAAATATATTATATAAGAAAAATAAGATAAAGATATTTTATCATTTTTTTAGAATTAACTATGTCTTGATTAATTTATTCATATTTTTTTATTTCAACTGTAATGACTTGCTATTCTACCGCATGTACCTAAGAGATAGCTCTAGCTCATAATCTTCACCCTTTTTCTTTATAGTTTCATCGTCTCGATATCTTATCAGGCATCTTTTAATCCCATAAAATTATTAATTTTCTATTTTATTTATGTAGTTCTATATCATAAGAAAAGCCCAATAGAATAACATTGGTGTCAATCGAAATTGAGATTTTGGATAATCTTGTAAGTTAGCGGTTATCTAATGTGTTTGACAAAATTTAATCACGCTTCTATGATTTATTCGTGAAATATTAAATTAATTATTCAAAGTAATAGAATATGTTTTCGTTCTATACGAGTCTATTCTTGAATTTTTACTCGGGACCCAAAAGTATTTGAGATGACCTTATTATATACTTTAATTATTATAACTGAATCATACAATAGAGGATATATCTCATGAAGTATACATTGTATGATCTAAATTTACATATCATGTAAGCGAAATATGAACAATATAAATCAATGAGTTTCTTATGTCTCTTATTTGTGATATCCAAAAGAAGTCAAACTCATGATGTTAATCGTGATAAAATAAATCAAACATTGAAAAACTAATTTAATGCATAAAAGAACACTCGGAATGTATTGTGCATATACATCATGTATTTTTTTTAATCAATTTGATATATAAATTTGTCACTTTTACAAATGTTATACTTGTATTTTTTACCAATTCAGTACCTAGACATTACACATTTGGTACTTGATCGATACCAAATATGCAATGTTTGGAAATATAAATTCCAAATTAGTAAAAAAAAAGGGGGGGGGGAAAGAGTATCACATGTTAACAGCGGTAATTATAGGTACTATAATAACAGATGAAATAATACTTTAAATACAAAAATCGTTATTTTAAATTTAAAGGTACCATATTGAAAACTCGGTTAAAGTACAAGCATCATTTGTGATATTATCCGTGAAAATTTGTATTAATTTTTTTTATTAGGGTACATTCATGTCCAAGGCCGGTTACCCTTTTAATAAGGTAAGCTTGGGTTTACGTGCGTCGGGCTTACCGAACAAAGCTTGAGAGATAAGTAAATGGATAACTATTTAACAAGGAATTCAAGCTTACAAATATAACCATAATCATTTTTCCGAGATAACTTATCATTACATTATAAACTTCACAAATTACAATGAAAATGAAAGGAAAAAAGGTAGAGAAAAAATTATATATAAACTTAAAAAAAAATAAACCCGTATCCGACACGTGTCCTCGTATAACGTAGAATGGGTTCATATTGAGTATAAATAACTAAAAGACATAGGTAGACATGAAACTAGAAAAAGCAGTAACATCTGCCCAAGGTGGGAAAAGCGCTTTCAACTTCTTTGCTTCATCTACCAAAACTTGGTCAAGCACTGCCAAATCCACCCTTAAATCTCCGAAGTTGCTGGCCTGAAAATCGACGTTAAACAAGTTTGGCATGGAACATTTACATGTAGAGAAACCGGAGTTCCTCGGATAAAACAAGGCATAAAAACTGGACAGGTAGTTGAATCGATCAAACCTCCAGTTTCCGATTCAACCGATAGAACTAGATAATCGGTTCTTACAACATTGAAAAGTGCTTTACTTGAAGTGAAATAGTTTAGGATTTTCATTTTCATATTCTAAGCCAAGTTTGTTTTAGTTGCTTGTGGGGAGGATAAACTTCAATGCAGTAACTGATAACATAGAATTGTACCTCTAACCAGAAGTTCCATTTTTCATTACTCGCTCCAGTAAGTCTACATATGTACGATGGTGGACCGCC